CATTTCTGCCAGGAAATCCTTCCTGATGCTCTGGTCTCCCTTGTTGTGGTGCTTCCAACATAGAGAATGATGGCTGGCTTATAGCAGCGCTCACTGAAAGTTCGTTGACTGGTTGAGTGAGTAGATGAATGATTGGACGCACGCCATTTAGTATCTTCCTAGGTACCTCCTGTGCCTTCAGAGGGGCTGATGGGGTGGAGGAAACTCAGGCCTCCCTAAAATAGGAGGATCCTGGGTCCCTGGGGGCCTGGTATCTGGGATGGGACAGCCATGGTGGCCACCCAGCCTCTGTGTGAACATTCTCCTTCCCTTCTTCCCCAGATGATCCACTCATCCTCAGCTCACCTGTTAGAGAGTCCTTCCTTCTCCAAAGCAGGGGTTCTCAACCTGTGGGTTGCGACCCCTTTGTAACAATAAAAACACATCCTGCATATCAGATATTCACATTACAATTCATAACAGTAGCAAAATTGCAGTTATGAAGTAGCAACCAAAATAATTTTATGGTTGGGAGTCACCACAACATGTGGAACTGTATTAAAGGGTCGCGGCATGAGGAGGCATTAGAAGGCTGAGAACCACTGTCCTAAAGTCAGAACCCCTTGTCTTCCTGGTCCCCGGCTTTATATTCTGGGGCCAGACAAGGTACAGGGTCCTGCTGCCCCTGAGAGGACAGCTGGTGCTCCCTGTCCCCTGAACTTCCTGTAACAGAGCTGACATGGGGCCAGTGTGTGGGTCTGACAGCTCCCCATCACGAGTTCCAGCTCCCTTAGGTCAGTGAATGTCATGTCAGACTTCAGGATGTTTATGTGGAACTGGCTGGGTTTGTGATAAATTTCCAATTTTTTTTGTTTGTTTTTTTGCAGTTTTTGACTGGGACCAGGTTTGAACCCACCGCCTCTGGTATATGGGGCCAGCGCCCAACTCCTTTGAACCACAGGCGCCACCCCAGATTTCCACTTTTTAAAACACAGGGAAGACCAAACAAACCTCTCTAATAGCCTGGAGCTGCCATTAGCAGGAGTCAGAAAGGGCTAAGAAGAGAGAGGAAGGCTTCTGAGCAGGGGAATGGTGCACGCCAGGGCAGAGGCATGGAGCCTGGGAAACCCAGTCTGTGCTCAGGACAGCAGAGTAGAGATGAACTTTGGGGCAAAGATTTCTCAGATACCCAGGGACAGCAAGTAGCTGTCACAACAAGCCATTTCTGTCCAACCAAAGTTCCTCATGCTTTGCCCTGTGTCTTTCTTATTTGATACAAATAATAGGACACGCCAATTTTGACCCCAGCAGAGGAATCTGGATGAGTGCTGAAGTATTTTTTACCAGGAAGATACAAGACTTTCACCATTCCTCTGTGTATGACTCTCCCCAGCCTGGGGGTTATTTTATTCCCATTTTATGGATAAGAAAACTGAGTCTCTGAGAGATGAAACAAATGGCCCGAGTTTATTCATAAGTCAGTGGTAGAACCAAGACCAAACCCAGCTCCTTACCCAGTGTTCTGTCCTCCGGTTATAATTGTACAGAAAGAAAATTCACATGCGAAAACCCACACCCCCACACAGCATCTGCCTGGGCATTTGTGTTTCCAAGTGTTCAGGCCCCCCGGCTTTGTCCAGTGACATACCATATTAATTTGTCATGTGCTAAAAGGTGAGACGCTCTTCAATCTAATTGAAGCTCTAATGCTGTTCATCTCTCACGCCAGCCTCTTGTTATTTCTGCTTCCAAAAATAGGGTGTTCATTTTCAGCAGGGAGGCAGGGAGACTGTAAGATTCAACTCCTGAGAAGAGCATAATGGGTGGACTGGACAGGGTGAGCTGTCTCACCTACAGGTCATCAAAACTGCTATCTTTGGATGCAGAGTACCAGAGCTGATCTTCACCCAGATCAGTCCTTCTTATCACATGGGGGGAAACTGAGGTACAGAGAAAGAAAGCAGCTTGCCACAGTCACAAGGCCTTTCTGCGGTGCCTTTCCCCACCTGCACTGACCCCTGCCTATCTTACCAAAACCCTGCTGGTCCAAAGTCTTCCTCTGCCAGAAGGTCTGGATTACTCTCCCACAAGGCCTAAAAAAAATGGACGATAATAATACCGTGTCTTACTTGGTACAAGGCACAGTGCTGTGCTCCTTAAATGAGACACCTTGATGAAGTCTCACCCTGCCCCTAAAAAATAGACACTGTTGTTGCCTACCTTTTACAAATGGGTAAACTGAGGCACTGGAAGGCAAAATCACTTACCCAAAGTCACTCAGAGCTGGGATTGGAGCCCAGGCTATCTGAGTCCAGCCACAACTCCTATTCTTGGGCCTTGGTATGCCGAGTGGCAGCAGGGCCCACCTTCCACTGAATGGAAGAGGGTGAGCAGGTGTCATGGCCACGTCCACCATATCAGGGGCCCCATGTCAGCCTACCCTGTCTGCTGTCACGGGACTCAGGATTCCAGCGCCTGGTCTGTGGCTCCACAGGATGATAGAACCCCCAGAACTGTGGCCTGACTCCCAGAACTGGAAATCATCCATACCAACCATGCACACACCAGAACGTTTGAATCACAGAGGTTCAGGGACTCCCTTCTCTTTGAATCAGTCAAGTGGGGTTCACTGGCCCCAGCCTCACCAGCCTTTTTCTTAGCCAAGTCCTTTATTAAGAACCAAAATGTGAGCACACACCCCAGCAGAACTACTTCAGGGCTTGCAGGGATCCAGGCTCCCTTGGGGCTTACTCATCCTATTAAACACCAGTGGGATGGAGAAACTAAGGTTCAGAAAAAGGAATTGGCTGCTGGAGGCAGTGATTTCCCTAACAGTCCAGTGTTGCTATTCAGACCCCCGGTGCTCAGAGGCCCACCACCCTCTTGAACTCTCCCTTCTCCCCTTATCAAAACCTGCTCCCAGGAAAAAGCCTGAAACTCATTCACACCGTGGTGCCTAGAACGGACAATGGCTCCTCCCTCCCAGGAAGTCTAAAGGAACTGGAGCTTTTCGTTTAAGGAATAAAGCTCAAGTAGAGGAATTTCAGACAGTGGCTATAGGTAGAAATGGAGATGGGGGTAAGGCAAGGAACCTTCCTGCCCTGCAGTCCTGGAGGGACCACACCCCTCCCTGCCCACCCCCGTCTGTCCTCGTAAAACACAAGTGTGCTGGGGTTTGGCTGGCCTTGGTGGCAGGACGGGCACTGCCCAGCTGTGGGGGCCATTAGTGCTGCATCTTCTACAATGACAGCCCAGGCAGACGTGCGACCTGTGATCAGTGGCTGGGGGATTCTAAGGCCTCAAGTGCCAGGCCCTGAGGTGCAAGAATCAGACCAGTCTGGGTCAAGGCTGCTTCAGAAGTGAGGGCAGCGAGCCACCCTCTGCCAGGGAGGAGGGGAGGCTGTCTGCGGTGGCCCTGAGAGCAGGCTCGCTGGTGCAGAACGGCTGCTCCCGGCTTGCTGACCAGCATGAGCAAAGGCCTGGGAGTGTGACAGCACACCTGTTATGGAAAAACCAAAATGACACACGAGTGACATGGGGTGCCACAAGGCAGCATCAGAGGAAGCACAGAAGCCCAGGGAGATCACAGTGGGTATGGAGGCGCCTCTGTCCTGGTCACACACCTGAATTTCCCCTGTGAGAAGTTCTCCTTACCAGGCCCCTCTTCTAAGGGACAGATACACCTTGGGATTGCTAGTCATTGTCATCTATACCTTGGTACCAGTGAGTGTAAGAGGGGACATATAGACAGGCAGACAGTGGCCAGTGAAGGGGCAGGGAAGGGCGTGGGCAGGCGTGGTATGGCAGGAGGAAGGCGGATGCCGCCAAGGGCCCGGCAGCCTTGGCTGGGAGCCACAGGGTGGAAGATGAAGTTGCAAACACAGATCGAGAGTCAGATCAGGAGGCCGGAGGGCCCGGCAGGAAGCGAGGGCTTGGTTCTGAAACCGAGGGGCCCCCTAAGGCTGTTGTGCAAGTGCATGAGTCTGGAAGAATTACCTGGATGTAACCAGATGGTAGGTTGGAGGAGGCCCTTCCTTATGGCCTTGTCTGGGCCCCATTGTGCAGGGTGCACCCAGCTGTACCTCACTCCCTCACCAGAGCAATGTGACTGCAGGCCCACCAGGCGTGGCTCTGAGCGTCCTGTACACACACTCACAGTGTGGTCAGCTCCCACGGAAGGATGCTGTGTCTGTCTCACTGGCTGCTCTGTTCCAGTGACTGCAACAGTGCTGGGCACATAGTAGGTGCTCAGTAAATTAGGCTTATGGAACACCTGCATTGCCTCCTGTGGTGTCATGCCCACCCCAGGTGCTCAGGTATGACCACCCATTACAGAAGAGGAGTCCAATGTTCAGAGGGCCACGGCCCAGGCTGGGACTCCAACGCAGGCAGTTCCCGTATCTGTTATGTGACACTTGATGGGAGGGTGAGTGGAAATGCAGAGAGAGGAGAAGGGCACCCAGGCCAGGTGGGTGCAGTGCTCTGTTCGCTTCCTGTGGCTGCCACAGCAAATGACACACTGGAAGGCTTATTTATTCTCTCACAGCTCTGGGGTCCTAAATCTGGGTGTCTGCAGGGCCACCTTCCCTTGAAGACCCTGGGGAAGGATCTCTCCTCACCTCTTCCAGTCTCTAGTGGCTCCAGGCGTTCCTTGGCTTGTGACTGTGTCACCGCAATCTCTGCCTCCAGTTTTCCACGGCTGTCTTCCTGTGTGTCTGTGTCTCTTGTAGGGAAACTTGTCCCTGGACTTAAGGCCCTCACACGTAATGCAGGACCGTCTCAGCTCAAGATCCTTGACTTAATTACATCAGCAAAGACTTTTCCCAAATGAGGTTGCACTCACATGTTCCAGGGGTTGGGAAGTGGAGGTATCTTTCAGGGGCAGGCAGAGGTATTGGCCCCCTGGGCCAGGTGCCTGCAAGTTTTCTGCCCTGTTTCATCCCCTCTCTGGCCCTAGATGCCTGGGAAGGCACCTGCACCCCTCCATCGCCTAAGCCAACCTCTCTGCACTCTGTCCACAGGTTTGCCAGGCACGGCTCCAGACCTGGAAAAGAGAAAGCAGATTTTTGGGCAAAACTTTATACCTCCAAAGAAGCCAAAAACCTTTATGCAGCTTGTGTGGGAGGCGCTACAGGATGTGACACTCATCATCTTGGAGATCGCCGCCATCATCTCCCTGGGGCTGTCCTTCTACCACCCGCCCGGCGAGAGCAATGAAGGTGAGACGGGCCAGACCCACTCGTTAGCAACGAGTGTGTGCATGTGGCTGCTGCACATCCACACCGCAGTGAACGCGGGGCTCACAGCCACAGGTCCTCCCGGGGGAGGAAACTGGGGCCCAGAGGGCAGCCATAGCGGAACCAGGCCCCCAGCTAGAGCACCCAAGCCCCAACATTCCCATGTGTGAGATGCAGGGCTCACTTGGACCACAGTAATAATCCATGAGCATCTGCTGAGCACGCACAGCGTGCCGAGCTCTAGGTTGAAACATCATCCTAACAACCCCATGAGGAAAGGGGTTGTTATACCCATTTTAAAGATGAGGAAACCAGGAGACTTCCAACTTGGCTCTTTGCCTTTGCCAGAAGCTCTGGTGCTTTTTTCTCCTTCCGTATTCCTTTCTGTCTAATAAATCCTATCTTACCACTGATGTGTGGTCCGTGGGTTCATTCTTCAAATTCCCAAGACCAAGGACCTACTGAAGAAAGAGATTATAGCAGTAACAGTTTCAAAACACTTTTCAATAACTTAAAAACTTAAGGTCATGTTACGTTCCGTAAAATAGTCATTTATAAAATGCTTCAGCTACTTAAATTGTTTAGAAAACTAAGTCTTTATCAAAAAATAAGACTTTTGCCTTTTAAATCTTCTAATTATCAGTTTGGCCAAGTAAATCACTTTATAGTAGACTGTGATCCTGTTTTGTTGAAAAGTAGTTTGAAGAAGGTAAGAAAAATTAAACAGAAAGGAAAATAAAACTGTATTTAAAAAAGATCTTATGTAATATGAATTTTGTCCTGAAACAGGATGACTGGTTATTTAAGAAAAATGGAAAGCAGGACAGAACAGAAAGTTTAACATACATGTAGACTGTCCTTACAGGTTGAATAAAACTCAAAAAAGGAAATTTGTGAAGGAATTTGTATGTAATCCAGTTAGTTATGATTTATGAAATTTAGTTACCTGTTTCCCTTTAATTTAAAAAATCACACTCCAAAAAAAATTTTTTTAAAGATGAAGAAACCAAGGTACAGAAAAGTGGGTTTGCTTGCTTGAATTCACCAGGTAATAAAGAATCCTCAGATTGGGTGGCACCTGTGGCTCAAAGGAGTAGGGCGCCAGCCCCATATGCCAGAAAACCCAGCCCCGGCCAAAAACTGCAAAAAAAATTTCCTCAGATTTTTACTGGGGACCTTGTTAAAAACATTAATGTCAGGCCCTCTCTCCCTGAAAGATTCTGGTTCTGTGGGACCCCTGGATGGCTGGATTTTAGTGAATACACAGATGAAGGTGACCCTGACATCTGTCCAGGCCAAGCCTGAGGGTCTCCACTTGCACACTGAGGACAGAGCCCTTGAACTGCTCGCCCTATGGGCTGCAGATACACTCTCTGAGTTGAGGGTGCATCAGCTCCTTGCACCAAGCTCCCCCAGCGGGCCCCCCCTCTGAGGGACCCTGCAACTGTGAGCCCCTCCCCAGAACCCCCAAGTGCTTTGCCCCCCAAGACATGCAATTGCAAAAAGCTTCACGATGTCAGAGGTCTTTGCACCTGCTGTTCTAGGACAGGGGTCAGCAAACTACTGTTCACAGACCAAGTCTCACTGTGAGATGAGTGATTTTTATGTTCGTAAATGATTTTAAAAAATACCAAAAGAGTAATATCTCATGACAGGCGGATGTGATACGTAATTCATGTTTCATTGCCTAAAAATAAGGTTCTGTTGGCGCGCTCCCACTTCTCATCCACGTGGCCTGTGGCTGCTGTCACATGAAAGTGAGGGTGAGAAGAGGGAGAACCACATGGCCAAAAGGCCTGGAAATATTCCCTGACTGGCCTTTTACAGAAGTTTGCCAACCTCTGTCCTGAAGAGAAGGATGGGAAGCTTTGCCTGACATAAACCTCCCTCACTCCCTCTCCCCTTTCCTCTCCCTCCAATCCCCTTCTCTCTCTCTCCTTCCTCCTCTCTTTCTCTCTCTGGAAAGAGAATTAAAATGGCTAATAGCGGAGCCTCTGAAGTCAGACACCCCTGGGTTAAAATCCTGTCTCCATCACTCCCTAACTGTGTGACGTGAAACAGTTGCTTTCCTTCTCTGATCCTCTGATTCTCAGTTCCCTGCCAAACAGAGCAAGTGATCTTACCTCAGAGGATTACTGTGAGGAGTGCTGAAGGGTCCCGTGGCCAGTGCTGACCCTCAGGAGATGCTGCTGGGTGCTAGACCTGCTACTACCGTGGGTACAGCGGCCCCACACTTCCTCCTCTGGCCTTCATCTCAGATCCCACCCTCTCTGCCTCACCAGAGAAGGCTGCTCCATCCCTGTGCACTGTGCTCCCTTTCATGGTCCTGTCCCCAGGCTTGTTTCCATGTAACATACACACTTGTGGCACTGATGCTGGACACGTTTTCCTACATCCAAAGTCTTGGTCTTGAGGGGGCGTCCCAAAATCTGTCTCTGGATTCTCAGTGGAGATACTGCTCCGTAGGCCGAAGAAGCACCAACGCACCCACCAGGCAGGGTCCCAAAGCAAACCCACTCTCCCCAAAGCCAGGACTTAGGACTCCTATGGGAAAGCCTTGACCTCCACCTGCTCATCCTGCGCACCTGCTAAGGGGTAGGCTTTACCGACCCCATAACTGCTTTCCTTTACAGTGGCCAAATCTCTTAAACCTCCCTGAATGTGTGTTCCTTTAAATTAAAAATAAACACATAATTACCATATTATAAAAGCCCTGAAAGGTTTCTGTAGCGAAAGTCTAAAATGTAACCAAGTACAAAGAATAAAAACAAGATTGTTCATAATCCTACCACCCAGAGGGAACCCACTGCTCAGCTAAGGTGTGTGGACCCCACATAAATATATATACGTACAGCACACCAGATAAATACATAAATAGGATCACGTGAGACATATGGCTTTGTTATCAGGTTGTTCTATAATCCACCTGTTTAATTAATAGAATTTTATAACCACCTTTGTGATTATGAACCTACAATCCCTAATTAATGTGCTACATAAATAGATAATTTATTTGCTATTCCGGCAAGCAAATAAAAAGTTGACAGCACATAGGAAATAACCATTATGGGCCTCATTTTCTTCTTTTTTTTTGAGAAAGAGCCTCAAGCTGTCCCCCTGGGTAGAGTACTGTGGCATTACAGCTCACAGCAACCTCCAACTCCTGGGCTCAAGCGAGTCTCCTGCCTCCGCCTCCCAAGTAGCTGGGACCACAGGCACCCGCCACAACGCCCGGCTATTTTTTGGTTGCAGCCGTCATTGTTGTTTGGCGGGTCCAGGCTGGGGATTCGAACCCGCCACCTTAGGTGTACGTGGCTGGCGCCTTAGCCAGTTGAGCTATAGGCGCCAAGCCGGGCCTCATTTTCTTAACAAGGAGGTGGTCTCTGATGTCCCTTGAACTGTGCTCTGCCCCCTCTCAACCTGAAGTTGCCCAAGAAACTGGATAATCAAATCTATTAAACCAACTACCTCAATTTCGTGCATAATACTACTAAGTTGATTTTTTTTTTGCATTTGTCAGCTTACAATAGAGAGTGTCAAGATATAAGAGGGACGTATCTCAAAAGATGAGGTCAAATAGAAAGCCAGAGGGAAAAAGAATGGAAGTAAAAAAGCCAGATCTAATTGCTACCATGATGGAGATTTAAATTTGACTCGAGCTTCCTGGCAGCCATGGCAGAAAGGGAATTAAGATGATTTGCATAGTTCAAGTTATCAACAAGGAGGAAAAACATTAATTCTTCAGGAAGATGACATTTCTCCTGACATCGATTTCTGGATGAACTTTCACACAGGAGCTTATAAGAGATGCATAATTGGCGGCCTTTTTTGCAGAAGTTTTATAGCAAATACAGATGAAGATTGTGCTCGGCTACTTGAATAAGCCTTAACCAAAGCTAAGGGTACAACACAAATGCATAATCATGACAATCATCCTTCTTACTACATATAGCTGCCACTGGTTGAGAGCTATTATGGCAGAAGTCCATTTAATCCTTGCTCCTCTCAACACCCCGGTAGGTAGGTGCTCTGATTATGCAGGAAACTGAGGCTCTGAAATAGTAAGTGGCCTGCTAAGGTCACCCAGCTAGTAAATGGCAGAACCATGACTCAGACCAAGGCATTCTGGCTTCTCATTCCTGTCCCTCAGCTGTGCTTCCTCTGGGAGGGACAGGACTGAGTCAGCCCAGATAAATGGCCTCATGTGACCCAGTTCAGTGTAAGATTAGCACTCAGGTGGTGGACGGGGTGCAGTGGGAACGCGGACCAAGCTCCTCATGTATTCCAGAGCACCTCCCCACAGACCCCCCACCCCCAGACAGGTGACTACAGCACTTCCATCTTAGAAATGTGGAAACTGAGGCCCAGACAGGGGAAGGGCTGGCCTGAGGTATCAAAGCCTGTAACGTTGGGGCTAGATGGTAAACCCTGTCTGCCAGATTCTTTCCATTGCTCCTCTCTGCTTCGGGCTGAGGCCCTAGCTCAGACCACGCCTAGGTTGGAGGCAGATGCACATCCTCCAGCCCCACGGGAAAAAACAGTTCCTGGACTTTGTGACTATACTTATTTCATTTGTCCCCAGTCCCCTTCGAGTGCAAGAAAATCCCCACAATTCCAGAGGCTCTAAGGAAAATGTTGGTTTCACTAAGGAAGGGGGCAGGGAAAGTTATGTGACCCTCTCAACTCCCTGTTATCCACCCAGTCGCTGAGGGGTCAAACATAACTGGGCCTCTGTTTCGGGCTGGCACTTCAGGGTCTCACAGAGCCCCTACACCCACTTCATAGACCAGGAGCCCTTGGCCCAATACCCCCAGCAGGGCCTTCCCTGGGCAGCCGTGTTGAAATTGTGCCACTGCTGCAATAGCAGCGGGGGTTCTATTTGAAATCAGGAAATGCACCCAGTCTCCCTTTGACACCAGCTGCCACCTCCTGGGAGCAGCAGAAGCCAGTGGGTGGTCAGAAGCTGGTCTTGGAGCCCAGCT